CCATCGCGCGGTGCACGCCCGTGGTCGTCCGTGCGAGATGTCTCTGCTGCTGCTGTTGTTGTTGTTGTGCTGCTGTTGTTGTTGTGCTGCTGCTGTTGTTGTTGTTGTGCTGCTGCTGCTGTTGTTGTTGTTGTCGTGTCGGAGGCAGCTTGACAGACTGCGCTTTGCCCGGACGGCGCGAGCGGCAGAGAGAGAGAGAGAGGGGGGGAGGGGGGGGGTGATGCGATGTGGCCGCGCCATCTGAGCCCCGTTCGTTGGGGCTCGCTCCGCCGTTGTCCCCCCCACCCGTGCCCCCCTCACCCATGCCCCCCCCCCCCGTGCCCCCCCTCCCCACTAAATCTGTCGCCGCATCGCTCACGCACGCCGCTCGCTCGGCCCTCCTCTGGCGTCACGGCCCCGTTACGTTACGTACGTTCAACTTCTTTCGCACCGTACGGAACCAACCCTGCTAATCGGAGGTGCGGGGAAGGACAACAATGTGTGTCTCCGTGTGAGTCTGTGGGTCTCTGTGTGAACCTGTGGGTCTCTGTGTGAGTCTATGGGTCTCTGTGTGGGACTGTGGGTCTCTGTGTGAGTCTATGGGTCTCCGTGTGAGTCTGTGGGTCTCCGTGTGAGTCTGTGTGTCTCCGTGTGAGTCTGTAGGTCTCTGTGTGGGACTGTGGGTCTCTGCGAGGGACTGTGGGTCTCTGTGTGAGTCTGTGGGTCTCTGTGTGAGTCTATGGGTCTCTGTGTGAGTCTATGGATCTCTGTGTGAGCCTATGGGTCTCTGTGTGGGACTGTGGGTCTCTGTGTGAGTCTACGGGTATCTGTGTGAGTCTGTGGGTCTCTGTGTGAGTCTATGGGTCTCTGTGTGAGTCTATGTATGTACGTATGTCTGTTGAACTTTTTTTTTATTATACGTAGCGAACCGTGCTACATCAGAGGTTACGTTACGGGGGCGCGTGTTGCGCTGACTTTTTGGCAATCCACTGCAGGTTGACGGCCTTCCCCACGACATTGCGGGTTGGTGAAGGTTGGTGGGGAGCCCTGCATTGGCTCAGATAACTCGTGCCACTGATGTTAGCCGTGCAGGTACACCGCCCGCACGCTTCAAAGCTGTGCCGCTCACTTGCACCCCAGGGTAGCTTTAGTCCGGCTCTACGAGCCTCTTGATTTAACTCGAGACCCTTTGGTAGCCTGAGTCCAGCTCTGTGAGCTCTCTTGAATTAGCACTGAACCCTAAAAGGAGGGCTTTGTCTGGCCCTGTGAGCCAAAGTGATTAACACTGAATCCTTTCGTAATCTCAGTCTGGCTCTATGAGCCACAGTAATTATCCTTAGTCTGGCTCTGTGAGCCACGGTGATTAACATTGAACTCGGGGGCGTGGTGTGGCTGGCAATTGGCCCTGGTGCAAGAAATGAAATGGGGCCCCCTCCCTGTCCACAATTCTACCCCCCCTCCCGTCCCGCCCCCCACCGTCTCCCTGCGGCCCCTCCTGGCTCGTGTGCCCAGGTTGCAGTTGCACCGCCTGCACACCCGACTGCCACGCAGCCGTGCGTTTTATTTTTAAGACCGCACGGAGCTCGTGGTGGGGGGGGGGGGGGGGGTTTGTTTCATCCGAATTGCTGGCTCGCTTGCTTGGCACGCTCTGCCTCTCACAATGCCCGCGTCTCACGCTTTGTCTCCTCCGCATGAAAGTTTAATAACTCATAAATGTTTCACGTCGAAGGAGGCTCCTGGCTCTCTCCCTCGCTCGATCGCGCCCCGCGCAACTCCACGGCCGCCGCCTCCCCCGTCGCTCTTTACTTTTATCGAAATTTCTCGTCGTTTCCCTCCGGTTTTTATACTTTTTTCGTCTCGGTTTGCACGCGCGCGCGTGTTGAACTTCTTTCACGCCGCACGCAGGCCAACCGTCGTGCTAACACGGCTACTCGTCGCGCGCCGTCGTCGCCGTCGTCGACGCCGTCCAGAGAGAGACCAAGGAAACCGTTCTGGAAGCCTGGCCGAGCATGGCGACCGTCTTTTGCGACGGAGAAACGGCCCCGCGGGAGCGGCTGTCACAGAACTGCCTCCGAGAGTTCTCTTCCCAAGTCGCCTCCGGTCCACGCGGTAACGGGGGCAGGACTCTGCCCGCCCGCCCTGCCGCTGAGAGTCGAGTGGCCACGCGGGACCGTCAACTGGGCGCGTGGATCAGAGGGTGGGCCCCACGGTGGCTAGGAGATGTTAACTACCTCGCCTGGTGTACAGGAGGTCGTGGGTTCGATGCCGACCCTGACGCCTGCTGCTGTATATTTGGAGTTTCTGGGTTTCTCTCTCCCCGTGGTCGCGTGGATTTTTTTCCCGGGCCCTCCGGCTTTTCCCTCCACATTTAGAATCAATATTCTTTGGGTCTTTCGGTAAAGTGACGTAGATTGGTTCAAAGAAAAGAACAAAAAATAACAAAAAGCGTTCGTCATCCTGATGACGAACGCTTGTGTTGCGATTGAAACGTCAGTTTTTTTGTTATTTACTTTGATCGATCTACGTGACTTTGCCGAAAGACCCAATGAATATGGATTCCTGCAGTCACGAAAGCTTTAAGTCAAGATTTAGAATCAACGTCCACGCGTTTAGTGTATTTGGCTGCTATACATTTCCACGTGATGATGATGATAAGCCACTTTGTTGAGCTATCATTTGTGGCCAGGTCGCTTCTGAAAAAGCAGCTGTACATAACTCAGTGGGCGTTACCTGGTAAAATAAAAAAAAAAACTAAATATGAATTGTAGTTAGTTAAATAGTAACTCGGCACGCTTAGGAACCTGCTTTAATCACCTTTGGCGGCTGACACCAGGATTCGAACCCAGGGTCTCATCGGTGCTGGATTAGCGCTCTGACCTCTGACCTCTGAGCCATCCGACCGCCTATCACCGTAACCGGTTCATCGCTCGCTTGTTTGGCCACAGATCTCCCGTGAAAACACGGCTTTCATCAAAGGGCTCGTAAGGACGAATAATAATAATAATGTACAGCCCCCCCTTGTTATAAGACACTATTCTGTAAAGGCCTTCCCCGCACGTGGTTGACCATACTTCACCACACACACACCGGTCGGTCCAAGTTTGACGAATACCGAGGCGCCGAGGACCATTTCAGACATCACCATTCGCCGCTTTATGCCAGGACCCTTGGCCCGGGAATCCAACTCAGGTGGCTGAGTTCCTTGCGCAGTGTGCACTATTGCACCCCTACCGGCCCTTCACCCGGGTCACTACCTGGTCCCTTACCTGGCCATACAGGGTGCCGATCCGTATGTACGGTGAACTTCTTTCGCACCGTACGTAGCCAGCCGTGCACTTCGGAGGTAGCGTTAAACGTATGGGGGGAGGGGGTGGGGTGGTGGTTTCTGTTTCTCGCACCGCGCACGTGTGCGGCAGCCCGTTTGTCACTCCACTGCTGGATGAGCGCCTCCCCACGCTGAATGGGGCTGTTTGACCATACTTCACCGCGGTTGTCAGTGCGGTCTGACGACGAGGGCGGGTCGCGTAGGGGATGGAGCGCAGAAGTACAGTACAACACCGGACTGCCCTCGCTCTGCTTTCCGCATCATAGTTCCTGCAGCAGCAGCAGCCCATAGCAACCCATAGCAGCCCATAGCAACCCATAGCAACCCATAGCAGGCCATAGCAACCCATAGCAACCCATAGCAACCCATAGCAACCCATAGCAACCCATAGCAGCCCATAGCAACCCATAGCAACCCATAGCAGCCCATAGCAGCCCATAGCAGCCCTGTTTGTGTGCGTGGTGGTGGTTGCCCATCCAAGAACTGGCCAGGCTCCAACCTGCTTAGCTTCCGAGATCCGACGTGATCTGCAACCTTACTCGTGGTCTCGTGTCTGACCGGTTCTTGCCATGGGCACGTGGAATTCCCACCGCTGGTATCAGTGCCGTACGAGCCATGGGACTCGAGTCGTGTCAGAAGCAGCATCGTAACGTTTTATTTCAACTGCAGGAGGAATGCGATGAGCTATAAAGCTCTTTCTTTCACAGATTGTCGGATAAGGGCCTACGGGGTAAGAGCGTTACACGAACAAACAGTGCAAAAACACGATAGGAGTGCAGTGTATAGGAAAGGTAGACAAATCACTTACAAATATACTCAACTATATATATTTTTGTAATCTTACCAGGTAAAGCCCACTGAGCTATTAGCTTATTTTTTTATTTTCAAAAGCCACCTGGCCACAAATGATAGCTCGATGAAGCGACTTACCGCGTGGACATGTGTAGCAGCATGACACTGTTGTGATCGGTGCGAGGTGGATTATGATTGCAGCAGTGCGGAGAAGGCCTTCATCCAGCAGTGGATAGAGACCGGCCGATGAGAGGCTGCGGCAACAATCGTAGCAGTAGCGGCTTGGCGGGTGTGGAGCTCGTGGCGTCGTGGTTATAGCGCGGCGTTCCAGCTCAGAAGCAGTCCCAGTAGGTCGACTCAGCCTTAAACGGGTGCCTGGGTGCAATGGGGAAACAAAGGCGGTCGGGCGTGGTGTTGGCCACCTTACCCCTTCGTGTGCCGTGGCGGCCTTCATTGGCACCCGCAGGAACTTGCCCCAACAGTCTGTTAGAAGGCCATATATTGGGGGGAGGAGGAGGGGGGGTGATCTTTGGCTTTGTCATTGTATGTGTGTCTAGGTGTGTGCGTGCGTAAAGAGAAACGGTGTGGGAGGGCAGGAGAGCGAGACTGGAGGAGGGAAGGGTGGTAGGGGCGGGGATGTGCGGGTGACGTGGTGGGGGTGGTGAGTGGGGGGGGGTAGAGAGAGAGGCAGGGGAGGGAGAGTGAGAGGCAGGGAGGGAGAGAGGGAGGGAGAGAGAGAGGGAGGGAGAGAGAGGGGAGGGAGAGAGAGAGGGAGGGGAGGGAGAGAGAGAGAGGCAGGGGAGGGAGAGAGAGAGGCAGGGGAGGGAGAGAGAGCGGCAGGGGAGGGAGAGAGAGAGGCAGGGGAGGGAGGGAGAGAGAGGCAGGGGAGGGAGGGAGAGAGGGAGGGAGGAGAGGAATTGGCTGTGTGTGGAGAGAGAGAGGCGAGACGACACACAGAGGAGGAGGCAGAGGCATATGGTAGTGCCTACGGAGCCGGGAAACCTCTTCCCGTCACCCTCACCGCACCAGCAGACGCACACACACACAGACACACACACAGACACACACACACAACAGGCAGCCGTAGTTAGGGGGGCAGTGGTAGGGATTTCGACGCGCTCCGGATGGAATAACTCTCGACTCTTCCTCCCACGGCGGCAGCAGGCGAGCGCAGGGCTCAGGTAACCCCGTCCTCAAGCGGCATCGCATTGGCCAACTTCATTCGTCGCTTGACGGTGGCTCGCTCGTTCGTTCGTCGTTCATCAAAGCGTTCGGTTCGTTCATCGTTCATCAATGCGTTCATTCGCGCGCTGTATCATTCTCCGTTCGATTCGAGCGACGCGCGCACGCACGCACGCACACACAGAGCCCGGCCGGTCCATCCTGAGTTCGAGCCCACCACTCGCACGGCTAACATCAGTGGCGAGAGGTATTCCACCCCTCCTCCTCCCCCCCCTCCCTCACACAATCCTCACTGACCCGGCGTGGTGAAGTATGCCCCACGGTCAGCCGCCGTGACTTGGGGACAATACGGGGCAGGCATTATCATCCAGCAGTGGATCGATAAAGGGCTGGTACATTGTTGGTGTTGTGTTGCTGTGCGTTGGGTTCGTTGTACGTCGCAAATGGCTTAATGTGCGCAATTGAATTAACGCTGACGGCGCCTTTGCGTTCGTATCGCCTTAGTCTGGCTCTGTGAGTCTCGCTGAATTAACAGGGAACCACCCGCGGGCTAGCCTTGGGCTGCTACGCTGTGTTTACTGTATGCCCGTTGAACTTCTTTCGCACCGTACGTAGCCACGCGTGCTTATAATCGGAGGTTGCTGGATTTTTTTTTTTCTAAATCAAGGAGAGTCTCAAAACAACGGCGTCTCGGGGGGGGGGGGGGGGGTGGTCGACTTAGATTGTGGGACGGGGTGGGGGGACGACGACAACGTTTGGAGACGTTTCCATTTCAAACCGCGAGAGAGAGAGAGGAGTTTGGGCTTGTTGCGCGAACGATGCCCGAGAGAATGAGCCCGCCGAAAAACACTCTCCACGGATGGATTCAATAATCCATCGCCGGGTAACCGATTCGGTTCGTCACCTCCCGCTGGCGGCCCATCTCGCTGGCTGCAACGAAACACATTGGGGGGGGAGGGGGTGGGGGGTGTACTCCAGTTCAGATCTCGGGGACCCCCGGGCACGGCACAAATCAGTCACCGCGCACACAGAAATCCTGCTGAGCTGCATCAGAGATTCGATGCGTCCGGGCTGCTGTGGTCTTGCGTAGATGTCGTTGATAAATCAATCACGTTACGTGATACATAGAAATGTTATACATAGAATACATAGAAATGTCTTGTAGTCCGTCGACTTAGCAGACTTCCAGACTATTGCTAACCCGGCCGCGTCTATGTACATTATGTTTGAACTTCTTCCGCACCGTATGTATCAGACCCTGCTCAATCAGGCTTCGAGCGCTTATGGGAATCATCAGCATAGCCCACGCGTGCTAAGCCGACACGTGCAGCTGGTTGAACGTTCGTGATTGGGAGGGGAGGAGGGGTTAGTGCTTACACTGGCTGCCTTACCTGTGCATACCTGTAACGTTGTGCCTCTGCTCTGTTTCAACAAATAACGTCGCTGCTGCTGCTGCTGCGTTGGCAGTGACGCACAGGCACAGCCAAACAACTCGAGCACGTTTACAAATGTATAACGAGGCGACGTTTCGGGCAACGGACCTCCTTCATAAGCACGCGAATAGAGAGCGGGCGAGAGAGAGAGATGTGGAGCGGATGGCAAGAGTCACGGATAGTTTTTTTTTGGACACCCCTTAATTAAACACGCGTCTCTCTGCAACGATTAAGATCGACTCGTACCGAAGGTACAAACAACAACAACAGGTTCGATCCGCGTGGTGGTCGTTCCTACGATGTCCACCGTTTGTTGCGTTTGTCGCTGCCACCTGCCTGATGCAGATTTAATCGGGGCCAGGTGAATCTGCGGTTTTGCAGCGAGCGGTTTGCGATCTGCGGAATGCCCTCTCGAGTTCGAAACCCGGGCGATTGCTTGTCTCAGCTCATCATCATCCCTCCCGGTGGGGGGGGAGGGGCGATAAAATTACTATCGCAACAGTGCTTGCTTTATGGCAAATGGTTCTTCTTCTTTCTAACTTGGGGTGCACGCGGCACCCCTTGGGGGTGCGAGATGCCCTTTCTGGGGGGAGGGGGGGGCGGGTTGCGAGACGTGGCAAGATTGTGTTTAAGAAGTTAAATAATCGCAAACACAAATGAAGCACCGGCACTTCAGTAGTAACTATACTTTGTCTCATCAAAACCCGACGTGTATTTATTTTTATTCTACATTTTGTAACAATTGAGAACCAAAGGGGGGCAAAGCTCTATGGGATAAACTCCGCCACCGCCATAGGAATGTGGAATTTCCACCTCTGAAATGCGCTCATCATCATCACGTGGACATTGTATAGCAACCAAATACTCTAAAACGCGTGATGTTGATTCTAAACGTGGAGAGAAAAACCCGAGGACCTGGAGAAAAATCCACGCGACCACGTGGAGAGAGCGAGAGAGACACCCAAACGCCACATATATAGCAGCAGCCGTCAGGGTCGGGATCGAACCCACGACCTCCTGTATACCAGGCGAGGTAGTTAGCATCTCACCACCGTGGCGGCTCCTGACACCAACATGAAAGGTTGCTTTTCTGTGACAGAGTTGCCTGTAACACCGTGACAGAATGCTGGGGCAAGTGCTGAGCACGAGCGCCTTTGCTGATCAGCCCCGACGACGTCTGTGAAAAAGAGCTTCATAGCTCATCGGATTGCTCCTCCGGTCCGAAATAAAGATTTCGAATTCCCTCCACGGCGCGGGAGGTGTGGGGGCGGTGTTGTCAGCACCACTCCCTTGCCAACTTTGTCTTTCCCAGTGCTGATGCTTAACATGCACCGTGCCGAGTGCTTATACTTGAGGCTAAGTTAACCTACAGGAGGCTCAGGGCCGATGCAGGTGATCGTGTGACCCGATGTTAGCCACGCTAACCACTGTGCCACCGCTCCCCACGCACACACAACAAGACAAAGACCCCCCGTGTAGCCTGGACAGACTGTTGGGACAAGTGCTGCTAACGAGCACCTTTGAAGGCTGGAACGGCGCACGAGGGGGTATGTGGCCAGCACCACGCCCGGCCGCCTTTGTCTCCCTAACGAGTACCTAGTACAATTGAGGCTGAGTCGACCAAAGGGAGGCCCAGGACCGGTTCAGATAATCTTCAGTGATCGGGAATCGAACTCGAGTCGCCTGGTTCCTGGCGTAGAACGCTAACCGCTACTACACTACCGCTCCCAATAACACAAACGCGCACACACACGCACCCAAAACACGAAGCGGATTCCATCTTTCCACGACTGTGAATTTGTATTATTCATGACAGCTCTGCCCTTCACGTTGGTGTCAGGATGGCGCAGGGGTACAGCTCGTGCCTCGCAGCAAGAAGGGCCCAAGTTCGATTCGCGACTCCCGGGCGCCTTTGCGCGTGAGCGTTCGAGCGTCCGTGCGTTCTTCCCCAGTTCTGCGATGGGCTTCCTATGAGTTCTCTGATTTCCTCCTAGAGCTAAAGACAAAGACAACCCCCCCATCCCCGTAAAGGCGAAACAGACTGTTGGGGCAAGTGCAGTTAGCGAGCTAAACGCACGTTTCGCAATGTAACCGGGATTGGTCAAATCCATCCCAAGTCTTATAAATCGCCTGCAAAATTGCTCGTTTGAGATCGCACATCAGCGGCAGCGGCAGCAGCAGCAGCATCGCCTCCTCCTACTGCAGAAGTCTGGCAGGACTCTCCTGAATACGAGTCTTGAGACTCGGTGAGGCTTTCCTCGGTGACCGATTAGAACAACAACAATTATTATTATTATTATAATAAGTGTGTCCAGGAGGGTGCTGAGACATTAGAGACGATTTGGCCAATTCCAGTGAAGTGTTTGTGCTTTGATGTCGGAGGGTAAACGGATGGCTCAGAGAAAACCCACCGAGCGTATGGGGGGGGGGGGGGGGCGAGGGGGGGGAGACAGCATTCCTATTTGGGATTAGATGGATCTTGGGGGATGGATCCTATTTGGGATGAGAGGGATCTTGGGGGATGGATCCTCTTTGGGATGAGATGGATCTTGGGGGATGGATCCTATTTGGGATGAGAGGGATCTTGGGGGATGGATCCTATTTGGGATGAGAGGGATCTTTGGGGATGGATCCTATTTGGGATGAGAGGGATATTTGGGGATGGATCCTATTTGGGATGAGATGAATCTTGGGGGATGGATCCTATTTGGGATGAGATGGATCTTGGGGGATGGATCCTATTTGGGATGAGATGGATCTTGGGGGATGGATCCTATTTGGGATGAGAGGGATCTTGGGGGATGGATCCTATTCGGGATGAGATGGATCTTGGGGGATGGATCCTATTTGGGATGAGAGGGATCTTGGGGGATGGATCCTATTTGGGATGAGAGGGATCTTTGGGGATGGATCCTATTTGGGATGAGAGGGATCTTGGGGGATGGATCCTATTTGGGATGAGATGGATCTTGGGGGATGGATCCTATTTGGGATGAGATGGATCTTGGGGGATGGATCTTAGTTGGGATGAGATGGATCTTGGGGGATGGATCCTATTCGAGATGAGAGGGATCTTGGGGGATGGATCCTATTCGGGATCAGATGAATCTTTGGGGGCAGAGTGAGACTCTATAAACCGACCCGATGTTTTCCATTTTACCGTTCACGTTTTGCGAAGGACAGCGAGCGAGCGGGCAGGCTTTGTGGGCCGGACGCGTTGCTAGAACGGACGACGGACTTTTGGTCGGGCACCTACCGAGAGGAACTTCCTCCGCGGAGATGGAGCGGTGAAACTCCATCCAGAAGGCTTGGGGAGGGAGGGGAGGCTCCACCTAGCAGTGGGTAGACCCTGGCTGATGTTGCTTGCTTGCTGCTGCTCCTGCTGATGATGCAAGTTTGACCGAGTGCCTTTATAATTCGTACAAGGTGGCGATGAGAGCGGTCCGTGTAGATTTCTGCAAAAAAAAAATTAATAACAAAACGCGCCCAGCAATTAGATCGGAGCCAGAGGCGCGCGCTAACTGCCTCCAGTCACCCGAAATTGTTTTCACGTTTTGTAAACACAG